AGTTTGTGCATTGTTTTTGTAACCCACATATTTATTTAAAATATTTTCATATTTTAGAGAGTTTGATAATTAGAAAACTACTTGACAAAATTTGGAGTGAATTTCAGTAGTATTTTGGTTCATGCATTAGTTAAAACTAAATAAGCGTGCACCATGGATATTTGTTTTTTCCCTGCAACAATACCACATTGATTATGATGCAAGCCTTCCTCCCCCTTCATACTTGTGTTGTTGCATTGGAAAAACAGATTTGTTTCACACATCAAAATGTGTGTCTTATGTGTCCTCCATCCCCAGGCACTTAAATGTATATATTGGAAATTCTTTTACATTGTAATATTATGATTCTAGGAGAGGAGAACCAAGCAAGACATGGAATTCTTTTAGACAAGTGTTGGTGTTTTTAAATAACTATGAAGGACTGTTTCATTGAACTGCTTTTGGGGTGCCTTATATTCCCTTAAATCACCTTGGAAATGGGAAATTAAACAATAGGTCAAAAAGAATCAAGAATATGGTACAAACATCACCACTCTTTTGCATGCAGAGCCAGTTTATTTTATTTTATTTATTTATTTTATTTGTCAATCGCTTACAAGATAATAGGTATAAGGATAAACATGATTATGAATACAAGAAATGAGTACGTATAAGAAAAATAGAAGAGACAATAGGACAGGGACGGTAGGCATTTTGGTGCACTTTGGTCTAGTGGTCTAAGAGTGGTAGACCATGAGTTCAAGTCTTACTTTAGCCATGAAAGCCAGCTGAGTGATTTTGGGTCTGTCACACTCTCTCAGTCCATCCCATTGTGAGAGGGATCTTGAAGTCCTAATGAATAATCACCTAAGTATCAGCCAGCAGTGTGCAGTGGCAATCAAAAGAGCCAACGGAATCCTAGGAGGATAGAATCAAGATTGCGTGAAATATTACTCCTGCTTTATAAAGCCTTAGAAAGACCACAGTTAGAATACTGCATCCAGTTTTGATCACCATATTATAAAAAAGAGACTTTTTTGAGACTCTGGAAAGAATGTAGAAAAGAGCAACAAAGATTATTAGAAGACTGGAGGCTAAAACATATGAAGTACAGTTACAGGAATTGGGTATGTCTAGTCTAGTGAAGAGAAAGATTAGGGGTGATAACAAGCAGGGTTCCAGTATTTGAGGGGCTGCCTGAAAGAAGACAGGGTCAACCTATTTTCCAAAAGACCAGAAGGCAAGACAAGAAACAGTGGATGGAAATTTAATCAAGGGGAGAAATAACTTAGAACTAAGGAGAAACTTCCTAACAGAACAATTAACCAGTGGAACGGCTTGCTTTCAGAAGTTGCAGATGCTTCATCACTGGAGGCTTTTAAGAAGAGACTGGACAGCCATTCATCTGAAATGGTGTAGGGTCTCCTGCTTGAGCAGGGGTTGGGCTAAAAGACCTCTAAGGTCCCTTCCAACTCAATTATTCTATTACCTCCCAAGGGTTGTTGTTGTGGAGAAAATAGGAAAAGGAAGATGTGTTGGATATGTTGGCCACCTTGAATTATTTATAAAAATAATAAAGGTGATATACAAATAAATACATGGATAAATATGAGAGGCTCATATTTATGAAATGTGAGGCTCTGATCACATACTTGCGGCTGCCACAGATCTCCTCTTGCTTTGACAGCACCGTATTTTTTGCAAGAGGGCTGGGTCTTCTTTGGTTGCCCTGCACAGGAGAATGGAGCTGGAAAGCAGATTAGTGGGGTGGGGAGGGAATGTGGATTTTGCAGTAACCTTCCCCCTGGAGTAGGGAGGGAATGGAGATTTTATAGTGTCCTTCCCCTGCCACGCCCACCAAGCTACACCAACAGAACTGGTAGTAAAATTTTTGGAATCCCACCACTGGGTTTAACTCTTTACTTCTGGTACTCTGCTTGGCATCGCATTGCATCCTCAGACATGTGCTGCTGCAACAGAGTAATGCAAATTGGGTCTATCTATATATGCTAACAGATAAATTCAATTTGTTTGTCTCAGCCCAGTCCAACAGTGTTCATTTTATCCTGCAAAATTTGGGCCAATAATCACGCTGAGAGGAAAAGTGAGGTTTAATCATTTATTTCTGCACAGGAATAAAGATGGATGCTTGGGACCCAGAAACAAATCAAGCATGGCTGCTGACATTCGACAAGTTGTGTTTATAGCATAAAACCTGTATTTCCAGAAATACCAGAAATGACGAAACTTGCCCATTGTTCGGCCTGCAAAAACTGCAGAGGCTTTCCTCAAGCCTCTGGGAGGCTGAAAAAGGCCTCAAACAGGCCGAAAATCAGCTGGGAAGTGCAGTGCAGGTAAGGGGGCAGAGCGAGGGGAGGCGGGGATTGCACACACATGCGCAGGGGGTGTGGGGGGGAGCTGCATGCATTGCCTTCTGGGTGCTGGCATGTGAGTGCATGCACAATTTTTGGCACAGGAGACCAAAAAGGTTAGTCACCACTGGCCTAAGAGGTCCTCTCTCCCTGGCCATCTAGGAGAGGATAAGAGATATAGTTTGGCACATCTGTAGGATATCAGACTGGATAACAAAGTTTTATTGTATCCTAATTTTTTTTTAATGTAAAGCTTAAAAGCACCAGCTTGGAACTTTAGTTTACTTTGAGCAATTCATTACAAAATCTTAAAGCCTGCAAAAAAAAAAAAAAAAAGGTATGCAATCAACAATTATTCCCGTGGTACAATTAATGGTTTTAAAAACAATCAGTTTTGTTAGTTGTGGCTCATTTGATGGATAATACAAGCTTGTATAGTCAACATTTGGTCTCCTGAGAATCAGAATATTGAGGAAATACAATAGTGGACAAAGAAATGGTAGGAAAGAATGTTTAAAGAAAGTCTTGCCAAGAAGAAGATTCATATGAGAAAATTTTAGTGTGATGGCACCGTCAAAGGCGGAGGGGGAGAGATAATTTGTGGAGAATCCCGGAGCAGCTGCTCCTCCACCCGGATGCACCGGCCTACCATGGACTGGAGGAGCTGCTCCGGGATGACCAAAGGGCCAGTCTTGTAACTACTGCAGCTCTGGAATATGGGATCAACTTTCCCACCAATGTCAGCAAGCCACCATCAGTCAAAATTCATATTAATGGTCCACAAGATTTAAAATTATGAGTTTGGTGGTCCCTGAGGTCCCAAAGGTTGGTGACCCCTGATCTACTCCAACCTCACCCCTCATCCAAGCAGGAGACCCTATACCGACAGGTGGCAGTCCAGTCTCTTCTTGAAAGCCTCCAGTGATGAAGCTCCCACAACTTCTGAAGGCAACTTCTGTTCCATTGGTTGTTCTCCATATTTCCAGGTTAAATCTCTCCTTGATCAGTTTCGATCCATTATTTCTTATTTGGCCTTCAGGTGCTTTGGAAAATAGCTTGACCCCCTCCCCTCTGTGGCAGCCCCTCAAATATTGGAATATTGCTATGTCTCTCTTGGTCCTTCTCTTCACCACACTAGCCATGCCCAGTTTCTTCATATGTTTTAGCCTTCAGTCCCCTAATCATTTTTGTAGGCAGTTGAATTTGGTAAGGATAGATGATTTGAGTCAAATGGCCAGGCTCAAATTATCCTACTCTGAACACACAATGAGAAATCCCAGCTTTCTGGGGAAGGCAGTATGGTGGAATGACAGAAGACCAATGAAGACCAAATGGTGGAATGACAGACCAATGAAGGAGAGTATTTGCAGCTCAGGTTTGAAATGAGGAGTCCTTGGTGCTTCTGTGAGCTTGGTTGTTTTCTTGCAGACATTTCATTACCTAACTGGGTAACATCATCAGTGCTAGTCCTAATGATCATTGCCAGCACTGATGATGTTACCTAGTTTGGATAATGAAACGTCTGGAAAAAAAGCAATCAAGCTCAGAGAGCACCAAGGACCCCACAAGGAAAAAAAAAAAAAGAAGACAACAAGCAGCAAGATGGATGGATTAGTTGAAGCGGTGATGGCTGCTTCATTGGAGGAACTGAATAGCCATGGAGGAACCACCTGGAGAAGATCTGTGTGATCATTAATTATGTATAACAACTTGATGGCACATAATAATTTCCTTGGTTCATCTCTCAGTTGTGAGTTAGAACAAAATGGCAACCTTTCCCCTGTTTTTAAGGATTTGAAGGCCACGAACTTGAAATTCTGCCATGGTAGAACTTGAAGAAAGCTTTGGATCCATCCAGATTGAGTTGCTTGAAGAAGAGGGTCTTCAAAGGGTTTGAAATTGTGGACATCTTGGTGGGCAGTTTTTGATATTCAATTAATGGAACATGGTTGAAGCAGAGATCTTGGAAACAGAGTTATGTACCGGTAGTAGAAGTCAAAGACTCTAATTGATGGAAGAAGAAGAATGATGTAGAACTTCTTTATTTTTTATTTAGCAGATCTATTACAGCCACCCCAGGACTCTGGATGATTTATACTTCATTCTTGGGTCCTAAAGGAAAAAGCAAAAATATTTTACATCCAGTAGAACAAAGGATTCAGTACAGGTAGCCCTCGACTTATAAAAGTCGAGGTAGTGACCATTTGAAGTCACAATGGCAAAAAAAAGAAGAAAGGTGACTCCTGATCCTTTTTCACATTTAGAACCGTTGCTGCAACCCCATGATCACAAGATCAAAATTCAGACACTCGGCAACTGTTTCATACTTATGACCGTTGTATGTCCCAGAGTCACGTGATCACCTTTTGCGCCCATCTGACAAGCGAAGTCAATGGGGATTCACTTAACAACCATGTGACTCGCTTATCAGCTGAAGTGATTCACTTAACAACTGTGGCAGGAAAGGTTGTAAAATGGGACAAAACTAACAACTGTCTCACTTAGCAGCAGAAATTTGAGACTCAAAAGTGGTCATAAGTCGAGGACTGCCTGTAATCATACTTTAAAAATAAATGCAGATAAAATAAAACTCATTGTGACAGGGTAGGGATGGATAATTTGTGGAGGAATAGAGCTTTCAATAGAGATAGTCCTTGACTTACAACAGTTCATTTAGTGACTGTTCGAAGTTAAAATGGCACTGAAAAAAGTGACTTATGACTGTTTTTCATACTTATGCCTGTTGCAGCATCCCCATGGTCACGTGATTTACATTCAGATGCTTGACCATTGACTCATATTTATGACGGTTGTAGCATCCTGGGGTTGTGCGATCCCATTTTGCGATCTTCTGACAAGCAAAGTCAGCGGGGAAACCAGATTCCACTGAACAATCATGTTCCTAATTTAACGACTGTGGCAAGAAAAGTCGTAAATTTCTCACTTAGCAACATGGTGGTCGTAAGTCGAGGACTACCTGCACTCAAGCTAAAAAAGAAAACAAAAAGAGCAATATGTGTTCTTTCCGACAGCCCTCATTCAAATAAGCAACGATCAACACAATTGGATAAACAATCTGGCAGAAAACAATACTCCAAAGAATCACCAACTCCTTGGAGTTTTTGGGGAGAAACCAGCAGGTCATGAAAGCCAGGTTTCATCTAAATTTGTTCTAAGCGAGATGTGTTGCAAGCAGTGGTGGGATTCAAATTTTTTTACTACCGCTTCTGTGGACGTGGCTTGGTGGGTGTGGCAGGGGAAGGTTACTGCAACACCCCCATTCCCTCCCCACCTCACTAGCCTGCTTTCCACTAGCTCCGTTGGCAGGGAATAGATGTGGGCAGGCCAGAGGTGGTATTTGCTGGTCCTCCGAACTACTCAACATTTCTGCTACTGGTTCTCCAGAACTGGTCAGAACCTGGTGAATACCACCTCGGGTTGCAAGTGAGAAGATAGGGCAAGTAAACAGCCATGCCGGTTGGATTCATAGCTACTGATGGAGATGTCAAGCAACTTGCCAGCTTTTCTTGAGTGGGTGCTGAAATGGCACCCAGGTGTCTATTATTGTGGTGATAAGAGCAGCAAAACATGTTTTATTTCTCTGCTCTTATTGTGTCCTCTGAGTATTGACCAAGGACTTTGTTCAGGACAAAGGACAACCTGGATCAGGAAGAACCCAGGGAGAAATTTGAGCCAATTAGTCCTGTGGAAGTAAACAGATCCCCCCTGTTGTGGTTACATCTACCTGCAAAGCTGGCTGAGGAATTCTGGGAGTTGAAGTCCACACATCTTAAAGTTGCTAAGGTTGGAGACCCTGGTACTGCTCATATCTAGTTGGTTGAAATGCCCTGGGAGGGGACATGCAGATGGATATACACAGGGGTTCCTGCTTTTTTAAGAGGTTTTTTTTTTTTACCAGCTCTTAAAGAGGCAGGGGCCTGTCCCCTCTGCAACCCCCCCCCCACCCCTTGCTGGAGCCTATTAATCAAGTCAGCTTTCCATCAATCTTTCCATTTTAGGGCAGGTGGTTGAAAGGATGTCACCCTACAGTTCCAGGGGACTTTGGGGGAAGTAGATTATCTTTCCCCCTTTCTGTGAGGCTTCAGGTTGGATGATGGTATACTAAGATAGCTTTGGTTGCCTTACAGGTAGTCCTTGACTTACAACCACAATTGAGCCCAGAAATTAGGTTGCTAAGTAAGAAATTTGTGAAGTGAGTTTTGTTCCTTTTTAAGACTTTTCTTGCCACATCTGTTAAATGAATCAGTGCAGTGGTTAAATTAGTAACAAAGGTTGTTAAGTGAATCTGGCTTCCCCATTGACTTTGCTGGTCAGAAGGTTGCAAAAGGGGATCATGTGACCCCAGGACACTGCAACCGTCATAAATGCGAGTCAGTTGTCAAGCATCTGAATGTAAATCATGTGACCATGGGGATGCTGCAACGGTCATAAGTGTGAAAAATGGTTATAAGTAACTTTTTTCAGTGTTGTAACTTTGAATGGTCACTAAATGAACTGTTGTAAGTTAAGGACTATCTGTATTTGATGTCCTTTGATGCAGAGGTATCCAACCTTGGCAACTTTAAGCCTGGAGGACTTCAATTCCCAGAATTCTGGGAGCTGAAGTCCACCAGGCTTAAAGTTGCCAAGGTTGGAGACCCCTGCAGTTTGATGGGCTTGGGATGGGTGGAGTGAATTTATTTTGACTCTCCTTAACCTCTCCAATGACTTTGATACCTTTTGACCTTGATATGTATGTATGTATGTATGTATGTATGTATGTATGTATGTATGTATGTATATATATATGTATGGTATGTATGTATGTATGTATGTATGTATGTATGTATGTATGGTATGTATGTATGGTATGGTATGGTATGGTATGTATGGTATGTATGTATGTATGTATGGTATGTATGTATGTATGGTATGGTATGGTATGTATGTATGTATTTATGTATGTATGTATGTATGGTATGGTATGGTATGTATGTATGTATTTATGTATGTATGTATGTATGGTATGTATGTATGTATTTATGTATGTATGTATGTATGTATGGTATGTATGTATGTATGTATGGTATGGTATGGTATGGTATGGTATGGTATGTATGTATGTATTTATGTATGTATGTTTGTATGGTATGTATGTATGTATGTATGGTATGTATGTATGTATGTATGGTATGTATGTATGTATGTATGGTATGTATGGTAAGTATGTATGTATGTATGGTATGGTATGGTATGGTATGGTTATGTATGTATGTATTTATGTATGTATGTTTGTATGGTATGTATGGTATGTATGTATGTATGTATGGTATGGTATGTATGTATGGTATGTATGTATGTATGGTATGGTATGGTATGTATGTATGTATAGAATTATATGGCCACCCACTCATTTTCAGTGACTCTAGTTGGCTTGCAAAAAATAACCCAATACAGGTAGTCCTCAACTTAGAACTGTTCATTTAGTGACCATTCAAAGTTACAACAGCACCGATTCGTGGTGGTGCTTCTGTCGAAGACGGACCAGAGACTGCAATTGTGCGTGGCTTTGATCCATGCTTACCTTATTGGAAGGATTGCTATGGGACCGGAACCATCTGACCCACCTCTTAAGGGTGGGGAAAGAGGGGGAGACCACCAGCTGGGTTGAGGGGAGCCACATGTCCCCTCCCTGGCTAGTTATACTCCCCTGGAAGACAGGGAGAAAGGACAGTTTAATGGTTGCCCTGAAGACGGGAAGTTGCCGGGACCTAAGTGTGTGCTGGAGCGGTGAAGTGGTGAGCAGTGTGTAACCAGTTAAAAGAACTTGAATTTACTTTTAATGACCCCGAGAAGCAGAAAGAAAGAGTTCTCGCATAAGAACATGACAGCAGCGAACGGAAAATAAGAGGAAAATATAAGGTAAATAAAAACCGGAGTATAAAAGAGCTACAATGAAACTAGAGACTGAATTTGGAATTATATATACAATTTGACATTAGTTAGGCATTGGACAGAACGCTGGACTTGCCTGGAATTGATTATAATTTAAAAAGCCAATGGTAGAAATGGTTGAAAATTAACAATATATTTGAAAAGAGGAAATAAAAGATCTTTGAAAAGTGGAATGCAATATAGAGCATCATCTAATGGTTAAAGATTTTTTTTTTCATGACTTTATGGAAAATTACTGGTCTTATAAATGTGTGAACGAAAAGATATGAGATAAAAGACTATAACATAACAAAAAACCCGGGAACCTAAAAAAAAGCGGGGGGGGGGGGGGGGAAATGGTAACAAGAGGATAAATGAATACAATATTTTGGGACTGTTGAGCGTTGATTGCGACAAAGAGATAGGAGGATTAATACGGGAGATAGAGACAAACGGAGACTTTTGGCAAGGATTGCAATAAAAAACTTGAATAACTCAATTGATTTTTAAAAAAATGGAAGAAATAAGCAAAGAATTCAAGTCGGAATTGCAAATTGTGAGAGGAATGTTAAAAGAAAGAAGGGGATTATTGGCTATACTGGCAAAAATAATAATGGCAATGCAGCCCGCAGAAGAACAAAGGAAACCCAGAGAGGAGGAGTTAAAGGAAGAGAAAAGTGACTCAAGTGAACATGGAGAACAAGTGACATTGCCAAAAGACATTAAAAAAAATTAAAATTGTGACATTGATGACAGAGGTAATAAATAAAAGAGAAAACCTTCCCAGGATTAAACAAAAGAAGAAGAAATCGTAGAAGAAGAAACTTCAAAAAAGAGAACAGGAAAGGCCGGGGGAAAGATAGGTGACTGGCAGATGGAAATAAAAATAATGTTAGAGGAAAAACAAGGGATAAAGAAGAAAGATTTGGAAAACCTAGAAAAGAGAAAGTTGGTTAAAACTAAGAGAAATGACAAGGCAGAGAGATTTAGTGATAAGGGTTAAAATGGTATAAAAGGGGGATAGTGCAGTGATGGCTAACCTTTTCAGCTTGGTGTGTCGAAAATCGGGAAAAAGTGTAGCCTTCCTCGGGTCGTGTGTCACTTCAAGAAATATCAATAATTTGGTTTATGACAGACTGGGCTGGGGTGATCACACAGGGCTGTGAAACTCGTCTCCCTGGTCTCAGGGCTGCAGGTGCAGGATGTGGGGATCGGAAGGCCACCTTACAGGGCTGTGAACCTCATGGATCTCCTTTCCTCCTGTAGCGTTCCTGAGGTAATGAAACTGACAAACCTCAGTTTATGGCGGTTAAAACTGGTTCTCTGCTGCAAAGATCTTGCGGCAGCGGTGACACCACGCCTCCACACAACAAGCAGGGAGCAGGGATTGGAGCAGAGAACAGGCAGCCTCTAAATGTGCAGGTTTTCCCCACACCAACAGGCGTGTCAGTCAAAGTGCCTCGGCATGTCACGAGTGACACGCGTGTCATAGGTTAGCCATCACTGGGATAGTGTATTTTGGTATTTTTTATTAGAAATTTAGAATGGGGAGATTTGAAGCTTAAAATGTATTGGGAACTACCCTAAGAGTATTACATAACTATATATGAGAAAAGTGAAGATGGAGTGAGAGATATTAAGAGGGTTTTATTATTATTAATCAGTTTTTTTATTTATACGCATATCCTAAAATATGAAATTGAGTATTTAAATATAATTAGGACAACAGAGATAAACTGGATGAAAATATGGTATGATTAAAAAGTGTGACTTATATAAACTTTATAGATTAAAATTGATTAAAGGGAAGTAAAAAGAGAAAATCAATTTTCTGTTTTTCTTCTTTTTTGATTTATACATGAACTAGAAAATATAATTGATTAAACAAAGGATATGAGAAAATAAAAATTATGATGAATTAGAAGAGATCATATTGGAATGTTAAATATTTATAATGAGAATACTATACTATAATTAAAATAGGGGAATGCTTATTTAAATTACATGGGTAAATTTTGGTTATGTGGAAATAAAGAAAAAATATGAAATGGATATGTGAATATTGCTGGTATAAATATAAGATATATTGTAGATTGGGGAATATACCATGTGGATCCTAAACATAGTAATTTTACTTTATTTTTACTCTTTTTTATTATTTACTATATATTGGTCTTGAGAAAGTTAATGAAGATAATAATGTATAATGTAAAATAAAATAGGTGGTAAGCTGAAAATGGAAATAATAGGGGATAAAAAATTGAAAAAACCTGCTGAATACCACCTCTGTTCTGGATCCTGCCAGATGTACCTTCAACATTCCCTCCCTCCCTTTCTGGTTGGTTAAGTAGATGTAACTGGGAAGAGATGGTCCTTCAGATAACCTGACCTCAAGCCATGTAGGGTTTTAGAAATAGCAATAGCACTTGGGTTTATAAACTGTTTTACAGAGCTTTAGAGCCCTCTCTAAGCAGTTTACAGAGTCAGCATATTGTCCCCAACAATTGGGGTCCTCATTTTGCTGACCTCGGAAGGATGGATGGCTGACTCAACCTTGAGCCCCATCAGGATCCAACTCCTGGAGTTAACAGGGAGTTAGCCCTGCAGTACTGCATTCTAATCACCGAGTCACCAAGGTTCTTTCAAGGCGACAACCAGCATCTTGAATTGTACCTGGAAGAAAACTGGCAGCCAATGCAGCTCTGGGAGGAGAAGTGACATGTGCACACTTGTATCAGCAAAAAAAAAACAGTACAAGCCACTGCATTTTGAACCAATTAGAGCAGAGTTCCCCAAACTTTCCGGCTTTGTGGCCCATGGGGTGGGACGGGATAGTTCCATGCCAGTGGTGGTCCAACCTGTGCATGCAGCTCTATCGCTCGTGCCAATGAAGCGTGCACGCTCACCATTCGCGCAAATGGAGCACACATGCGCTCGACTGCTGCCAGTATGGATGTGCATGTACACTCGCCTGCCACTTCCATGGATTGGTTTCAAACTGCTTAAGGCCCAGTAATGGGCTATGGCCCAGGGGGTTGGGGACCCCTGAATTAGAGCTTCTGGATGCTTTTCAAGAGCAGCCCCATGTAGAGCATGTTGGCATTAGCCAAGACAGGAGGTGACCAGGACTTGAGTGACTGCGAGCAGGTATTCTTGCAAACTTAAGCTTGGGCTGAGGCCCAGTCCATCTGAGGCTTACTAGGTTAGAGAAGAACCCCCTATGAGCTGCGGTGGCACAGTGGTTACATTTGGCAGTTCGAATCTCACCAGGCTCAAGGTTGACTCAGCCTTCCATCCTAAAATGAGGACCCAGATTATTGAGGGCTGTAAAGCTCTGTGAAGCGGTATATAAATCTAAGTGCTATTGCTATAGCTAACTCTTCCTACTGCCAGGAGTTTCATCCTGAGCGGCTCAAGGTTGACTCAGCCTTCCATCCTTCCGAGGTGGGTAAAATGAGGACCCGGATTGTTGGGGGCAAGAGGCCGACTCTGTAAACCGCTTAGAGAGGGCTGTAAAAGCACTGGGAAGCGGTATGTAAGTCTAAGTGCCATTGCTATTGCTATGGTGGCTGAAACCGCTCATCCCACGTGCTACCTCTTTCTAGACGGCTCTGAGAAGCCTCTGAGCTTGAGGCTTGCAGTTGCTGGCCATCAACACCGCGGCGGCCACCTCCACGGCGTAGTCCTCGTTGTAGAAACTGACCAGGAGGTCGCTCAGATCTAGCGCGTCCGCCTTCTGCAGCCGCCCTCGGGGGATATTGTTGTAGCTCGGCTTGACCTGGTAGTCGTGGAGGTTCGCCTTGAATTTTCGGAGCTCGTCCTCCGTCAAGTCCTCCAGGACATTTCCGATGGTGGAACGGACGCTCTCGGCCATCGCACTTCTCCTGGACAATAGCGGGCGGCTGAATTTCAGGGAAAAAAAAAAAAAAAGGAAGTGGCTGTGTTTGCGCGCCCGCGCGCCCCGGAGGCGCAAAGTGCAGATTTTCGAAAGTGGGAGGACTTGATCGAAGGGCGTCGAGCGTTACTTTCGCCTTTCGCTTTCTCCTTTGTCGCTTGGGGGGCGGCGGCGGGATTTCAGGAGGGTCCCGCGGAGTTTAAGGACTCAGACGTGCAGTTTTGGCGACCCTTGAATTTTTCAGGACAGGAGAGCGCGAGTGGTTGGTATTTGCAGCACCTCGTTTGGCGTGACGTGGCATCTTCGGATGTGTGAGGCTAACAACGGAGAAATGCAAATTGTGCCTCTCTCTATAAGCACGAACCAAACAAATTCTCAACCTCCCTGGCCAGAGAGGTGTCGTTTCCTACATCTGTGGGATACCTGACTGGATAAAGTAGATGTAATGTCTCTTTAAGCAACTTTAAAGCACTAGCTTGGAACTTCAAGGCACAGGTAGTCCTCGACTCATAACAGTTCATTTAGTGACCATTCGAAGTTACAGTGACACTTAGAAAGTAATTTATGGCCATTTTTCATACTTACAATGGTTGCAGCATCCCCATAGGCACATGATCAAAATTCATTGACCATTGACTCATATTTATGACGGTTGCAGTCATATGATTCCTCCTTTTTGCAACCTGACAAGCAAAGTCAATGGGGAAGACATATTTACTTAATGATCATGTTACTAACTTAACTGCAGTGATTCACTTAACAACTGTGGCAGGAAAGGTTGTAAAATGGGACAGTCTTCACTTAGCAAATGTCTCAGTTAGCAATGGAAATGTTGGTCTCAATTGTTGTAAGCCAGGGACTACCTATACTTTGAACAATTCACTACAAAATTTAAAAGCAATTGTCATGCAAACAAGTGTTCTCTTGGTACAATTAATGTCTTTAAAAGCAATCAGTTTTATTAGCTGTGACTCATGGAGGTATAAAATATAAATGTTCAAGTAGAAAGCAATACCCTAATCTAGCAATTAGCAAGAAGGACACCTCAGCCCTGCCAACACTGGCAGGGAAAGTTACTGTATATAAACAAGAAACTTCATATCCACTAGCAAGGAAGATGTTACCTAATTTGGTAATGAAGCATCAGCAAGCAAGAAAAACCAAGTTCATAGAGCACCAAGGATAGCAGTAAAGCAATTAGGGAAAAAAACAACTGGTTCCAGCCATTATAAACAAATGAGTACCTCATATAACAAAACCTATAGAAAAGAAGACGTATATCATACATAAAGAAAATCATACACACTATAACAGAATAACAGAGTTGGAAGGGACCTTGGAGGTCTTCTAGTCCAACCCCATGCTCAAGCAGGAGGTCTATACCATCCCAGACAAGTTCAGAAGCTTCTTGAAAACTTCCAGTGATGATGCATCCACAACTTTTGAAGGCAAGGTATTCCACTGATTAAATTTTCTCACTGCTAGGAAATTTCTCCATAGTTCTTGATTAGTTTCTATCCTTTCTTCTTATCTTGCTTTCTGGTGCTTTGGAGAATAGATTGACCCCCCACCCCACTTCTTTGTACAAATATTGGAACACTATTATCATGTCATCTCTAGTCGTTCCTTTCGCTCGATTAGATTGTAGGAAGTTAGCACCCAACCCTCTCCTAGAAAATTGAAATATCCTGGGAAATATTAAAAGGGCAGAATATTTCCCCTAAAAAGAGTAGAAACTCAGAAGCAGAAACTCAACTCAGAAGTAGAAGCTCACCCCCACCTTTGTTAATGGGTGGGCCATTAAGGCCTGGCCCAGAATACTTTACATAACAAAGATCTCCAGGTAAAGCTACAGCAATTGCCCAAAGCCCTTTCAGTGCATCATCATCCAGCAAGGCTCAACCAAGCCTGGGACTCAGGGCAGCCTACAGAGTTGCCCCTGCATGGCCCCATGGGAGTCTGACAACCAATCAGAATACAAGCTCCAATTCAAATCCCAACAAAGGTTATAAAACCCAGGCATATGTTACTTTACAATCATGGGTTAAATAAACATATTTTCAACGTTCCTGCTTTAAGCAGGGGGTTGGACTAGAAGACCTCTGAAGGTCCCTTCCAGCCCTCAGGAAACATGGGTCCTTTTTTGCATTATCAATTAGCCACTAGATGGCGCTGTAGGATCCTTAAAGAGAACAGCAAAACTCTCACAAAATTGGAGAATGAGATTTCAAAGTGAATAAGGCCAGCCCATCCATCATGCCAAGCTGTAAAACGCTTTATTTCATTGTGGGTTAGTGTGAAGATAGCCATCGTTTGTAACCCATGGCTTAGAGTTTAGTATTTTGTGTGAACCAGACCTCTGTGATTTCTCCAAAATAATAATAAAAAAAACTAGTGGTATAAACTCCGGATTAGTGTGATATTTATTTATTTATTTATTTATTTATTTATTTATTTATTTATTTAT